GTCTTGATACCTACTTCTCTTGTTTGGATTCACAGGAGTGAATACATGAGTTTTTCTCTAGATTCCATGGGACCAAAAGTTAAACATTATTATGTATTGTACTCTTTTTATTCCCCAAATTGATCATGGGCTGGGTGAGGCAGGGTACTGGGATGGTTTGGATCAAGTTAAGATCATAAAAAACCCTCACAAATCCTCTGTTGGTTATGTCCTTGCTGAGGAAATGAAGTTCTCCTCCTCTTAAAGTTCTATGCCTTTCCCACCTGCACCCCCATTTTCTTGCAGAACAGGAGAGAGTGCTACAGGTGATGTGCTCTTGGTGTGTTGTGTCTGATAAACCTGGTGCTGTTTCTGTTCTTGGAGTACCTGAGTGGTGTTGCACAGGGGCAGCACATACAGAGATAAAGAAGTCTTCCAAGATCTTCCAACAAAGGAGAGTTCAGAAGAGTGTACCCATGCTGACTCTTGGATTGTTACATTAGCCTCTAATGTGATCTCCTTGCTCCATCTCCACCCCTGATAAAAGTCAGGGTGGTTCTTGTAAATACAGTTAAATCATGTCATTTCTTCACTCCAAACTTTCTGGTACCTTTCAGTCTCATTCCCAGTCCACAACAAATTCTTTATTGTGGTTCATGGTAGGATTTGCCTGAGGTGTCCTTCCTTTGACCTTATGCCCTGTCTTCTTGCCCTCTCTCAGACTTCAGACACTCTGGCCTCTTTGCTGGTTCCTTAGACTAGTGCTTACACTGTTAGCACAAATTTACTGAAGGATCAGTAATTTTGTGCTAATAGTGGATCATGGATCAGCACAACCTTTAATCACAACCTTTAATCATGCCTCTGGTGGACCCACTTTCCTGATGGAAAATGATCCACTGGCCAAAGGGTGAGTCTGTGCTTATATATGCTACAATGAGAATGACTTAATCATTGACAGATTGTGTCAGTTTGAGCACACAGAAAACAGGTTTGTGAGAATTTGAAATTTGTTTTTACTGGGCAATATTTTTACTTGGGGAAGATGGAAAGTCTGGGGTCAGTGTTCAGTGCTTATCTCTTTCCCTTTAGGGTCCCATTGTACTGGGAAAGGATTTATTTGGGGAAGGATCAATGATTTGGCCTTCTCCCAGAGACCGCCATTCTAGTCTTGATGGATATCTCCTTCCCAGGGATTGTTTTGTCACTGGATGATTACTTCCTTGCTAGGGATTTTCCCTTCACCGGGAAAGAATGTACTGGGAAAGGATTAATGTTATCAATGATCCTTTCCCAGTACATGCCTTCTTCCTCACTCCCTCTTCCCAGGCCACACTATTTTGGGGTTTGGCATTCTCTTTATCTTACATAGACTTGCACTGCTCATCCAGATGGTCACCCTCAGTGACTGCTCAACAGCCTCATTGGAGAGCCCTTTTCTGACCCCCCCCCCCATCCCACCTCAGTCTCCTCTGTAGCTGGGTATAGTGATTTGCAACACTATGTCTAATTTGACTTTTTAACTATTTTTTTAAAGAACTACTTACTTGGTGATAATGTATGTTTTCCTGAACACATTAATCAGTGGTTCTAATGTCTATGTTTTATAACTCTAGTCTGCATTACCTCTGACTCTTATTTTATGTTCTGATTTTTAGAACTTTAGCTACTATATTCTGGCATGCCTTGTCATTTTAAATTTTAGATTAAAAATTTGGATGATGAAGTATGTTCATGCCAATTTATGCCATTATACATGTACTTTTTTTTGCATTACAATTTTTAATACACATATATACCACAATTTTTCTTATCTCTGTTTGTATATAAGGTATGTTGACACCCAATTCAAGTCTTCATACATGTACTTGAAAAATTGTGCTCTATATGTATAATAAGAATTGTAATGCATTCCACTATTTCCTGTATTTAAAAAAATAATAATAAATATATAAGTTGAAAAAATTTGGATGATGATATCTTATTTTGTTTTGTTAACAGGGATTGAATCTGAGGTCCCTAACAAGTAAGCCATATTCACATCCCGGTTTTTTAGGTTGCTGAGGCTGGATTTAAACTTGTGATTCTGATACTGCTGGTTATCCGTGACAGGAGTTCTACTTCTCAGATGTGAAGATTAAACCCCAGAGAAACACTGAGGCAAGCATAGCATGCAAGTTTTATTTAAATAATAGTAACACAGACTTCTCCTCCAGGAAGAAGGGGTCATAGCTGGTGTCCTGGTATCCCAAGAAGTGGGAGTGTCATACCCTTTTTATATATTTTATATTTTCTTTGTTCTCCTGCCCTCTTTCTCCTCTTTTCTCTCCCCATCCTGTGTAGGTGACTAGGCTGGGGTAAGCCAAAAGTTGGGAATCAAATGGCCAAGTGTGGAGTGATCCAGGCAGGTAGCAGGCAGGAGGCATTAATTCACAGCTCCTACCTGGAGGAATAATTCCTGGGCCAGGTTATCTTGGTAAAGGTGGAGGAAGGGCTCAAGATTCATTAGCATATCAATCCCCAGAGGCAGACTCCAACTTCTCTGACCCAAACCAGCTTCTATCTTCCCAATCAGACCTGATCATCCATCTACACTAACTTCCTGTCTTTAATTCTTGCTTCAATACTCCTGCCTCAGCCTCGGAGTCACTGGGATTGCAGGCATGTGCCACCATGGATGGCTGTTGATATCTTTTTTTGAATGTGGATTTAACTTTCTTCTAGCAAAGTCTGAGCATATTACCTTGGTCAAGCAGAGTATTGTCTCTTTTGGGTTTTCCCATATTCCCAGGCCACAGTGTTTCTGGGGTCTTAAAAGCTTGGGTTTCCAGAATCCTTACCTTTGCTAGCCACAATCTTTCAAGGCTGAAAGACTGCTGAGATATTTTATCAAGATATATTAGGGGCTTCTGGATGATCCTTCTAGCAGTTTCTTAGTACCTGGCTCCAGAGTGAAGTTTGCACTCTCAAACCCTAGAGAGGAGAAGGCAAAGGGTGCTGGAATTGCCCAGTGCTGTTCCCTCCTTGCTGGGATTTTGGTTCCTCCAGTCTCTGTGGCTTTGCTGCTCTCATCAGGGAACTCTTCACACACTCCTCATGTTATGTCTGCTTCTTTGGCTGTTCTCAGGAGGATTATTAGTTTGGAGCAGCCAGTCCACCATAGACAGAGAGAAAGTACTTCATAAATGACTTTGACATTAAAAAATGAAAACTAGAATTATTGCATTTAGAATTTCAAACCTACTTAACAAGCTCAGTTCAGCTCCAGGTCTGACTCTAAGTCCTTTTAAGGGATCTTTTGTAACTTTGATACTGCTGGTTATTATTGATGAGTTCTGCTCCCTCAAATGTTAAAGTTTGAACATTAGAGAAGTGGCCAAGGCAAGTGTAGAAAGCAGGTTTTATTTAAAAAATTGTAACACAAACTCCGGGGAGAGAGATGGGAGTTGGGGGGGCGGGTGTGTGTGTGTGTGTGTGTGTGTGTGTGCGCAATATCTTGTGTCTTGGTATCCCAAGAGATGAGAGTGTCCTGCCACTTTTTTTAGGTTTCCTTTGTTCTCCTGCCCTCTTCCCCTTTATCTCTCTCCTCCCAGCGACTAGGCCCAGTAGATGCTCCTGGGAAGGTCAAAAGGTGAGAATCAGATGGGCTTGAGAAAGGGCCAAAGTGGAGTGCTGGGGCAGGTAGGGAGTGGCAGCCCAAGGAGCATTAATTAGCAGCTTCCTGCCTGCTCAGGAAGTGCTTCTTTAACAGTCTTCTGGGAGGGGCAGTATAGGCAGGTAAGCCAGGTAATCTAAAGGCTCTTGAAGCATTAATATTTCAATTTCCCAGGAGTGGTCTCCAACTTCCAGAACACTAACCAGACTCCTTTTGTCTATCTGACCGATTACCTATCTACACTAACTACCTGTTTTTAATAACATCACTCATTAATATTCAATTTTGTTTTATAGCCTTATTCTGCTTGACTATTGGTTAAATATAATTCATCATTTTTACATGTTTGTCCATTAAAGAAATATAATAATGTCAGTGCAAAAGGATAAATGTTGGTGTTTACCTTTTTAGCTGATTGAAAGTGCACAACAATAAGGGTTGTACAATTTTGAACTATTTATTCAAAGAAATCTCTCCTGTCCCTGCCTGAGAGGTTAAGCTCCTTTTGATAGTAACAATATTATAAACTCCAACATTAAAAAAATACAGGAGCTGCATAATGATTATATAGGCTGTCCCTAAACTAAAGTTGTATCATAGTATGATCTTTAAGCCAGACAAGACTAACTCTCAGGTGCCTTTTTCCTCTTTCATGGGTTTTGAATAATTTACATATTCTTTACTCATTAAGATCTCATAATTTGGGAATTTGACCTTTAACTGGAATGCAGGTATTCCAATTTTTATCTGCCTCCCCTTACAGATTCTAAGTTTGTTCTTATCACATTACTGTAGTCTGTTCATTGTAAAGACCAGTTTAAAACAAGCTTGGATTAAATGTGTTCTGTTGGTATAACTTTCTGTTCCATCTGTGAAACCACATCCTCAGCACTTGTGGTCAGCGATGCCAAGCTACCAGACTACCAGGGCTTGAAATCCCCCAACTCACAAAGTTCCCCTCCCTTAGGGACAAAGAATCTTCCAAACCGCCTTTCATCACGACATCGATATTTAGTGCTTTCTCATAGTGTGGTTACATTAGGCATAAGATGACTGGTTTGTAGATATTAAGTTGCTTAAGTGTGATTGGCAGGCAGGCTCTACCTGAACCCTATAACAGCTGTATGCATTCCAAAAATAAAGGAGCGTGCCTGGAGGTCGACTGAGGTTGTCACCTGCCAGCTCTCACCAGCTCCCATTGTCAGTGTGTTGACTCCATGTCTCTACCCCCTGTGACTGAGGTAGTGGAGTGACCATCGACCACACCAGTGACTAAGAACACATACAGTGTTCGTGTGTTGTTATCTGATGTTTAAAATCTCATTTACCTGGACTATCAACTTATTATTGCTTTTTTTTTCTACAGAAATACAGAATTCTCCAGATGTCTTCCAACAATGACCTGGTTTTAACCCACATGTCCCAAAGAAACTCTGATGACCAACCTGGGACGACCACCAGTGACCAGAAAGGGCCTGTGTTAAATTTTCACAACATCTGTTATTATGTAAAAGAGAAGAGAGGCTTTCTGTTTAATCAGAAAACAACTGAGAAACAGAAACTATCAGATCTCAAGTATGTGCATGAACTTTTTAAAGGACCACTTTATTGAACTATAGTGAACTTCCAGGTTTTGGCTATTACCAATAAATTGCTATGAATATTTATTTTTAATATTTAGATTATACAGATATATTGATAAATGCTTTCATTTCTTTGGGGCTAAACTAGGACTGAAATGATTGGATCACTTGTTAAGTATGTGTTTAGCTTTGAAAGGAACTGAAATGAAAAAACATTCCTAAAAGTGGTTATACCCTGGGCATCAATCTTTCTTTGAGAAACTGAACAATTAATATGCCATTTGGTTTTTCATAGATAAGCCTTGTATTTTGTTGGAAAAAGGCCTGGTGGTATAGTTTATTGCTTTTTGATTGTCGGGATATAATTGTAACCCTAATTTTTCCAAACAATGAAATAGAACATGTTTTTATTTCACTACTCCAATGTGCTTTCTGAGACAGACACATTTTAGGTTGTGATACCACGAGTTATCAATGATGAGTTCCACTTCCTCAAATGTTGAAGTATAACATTAGAGAAGCACACCGAGGCAAACATAAAGCATGTTTTATTTAAAAAATAGTAACTCAGACCTCTCCTGGCGGGGAGAAGGGAGCATAGCCTGTATCCTGGTTTCTCAAGAAGTGAGGGTGTTCTGCCTCTTTTATACATTTTAGACTTTGCCTAGTAGATGTCTGGTGCTGTACAAGATGCTAGTGACAGAGATATGCCCTCTGTTCTTGGAAACCTTGTAGTCTAGTGAGATTCAGAAAACTAGAGCAGTTTCCCTGCATTGTTTGCTATGATTGATAGAAATATTCAGACACAGAGCAGAAGCCCCTCACCTTTCTTTGGAGAGCCAGGTGCATGGAGACTGAGAAAATAAAAATTGTGTGTGTGTGTGGGGGGGGGGGGGTTGACTATGCCCCAGGAATGACATTTACCTCTTCTGACCATAAACAGAACAATACCAAAGAGTGGACCTTTATCCAGTAAAATGTAATAGATCTAACAGGTGTTATTTAGGTGCCTTTTATGTCATGTACTCAGTATTTGGGATTCAGTGTGCTGTGTGTAATGGTGGAGGGCAGGAGAGAAAAGTGGTAACAATAAGACACAGTCTAGTTGGCGCGGGTTTACAGTATGAGGGAAGAGCTCTCCAGGCACATGCTGTAAAGGAGAAAATAAGGGGGGAATGACTTGTAAGGGGCTAGAGAAAGGTGGAGAGAGGATGGGGAGACCAAGAATGGTGGAGCATAGTTGATGGACTTAACTGTCATTGTAGCATGAAAGCAGCTCTAGACTGTATTTAAACCAATGAGCATGGCTGTATCCAATCACAGTTGTCAGGGGCTAGAAGGAAGTTCTCCTTCAAAGTATAGCCTGACATTTACAAGAAACAGCCCCCTGGGAGACATCCTGCCTGGGAGACACCCTGCAGCCATCTATCTCCCTGAGACATCCTGCGGCCACCTATCTTCCTGAAACATCCTGCGGTTATCTCACCTTGTGCAGACATCCAGCAACTGAGAGAGCTTCCCCATCCCCAGCATATAAATACCCCTGTGTGAACAATAAAAGTTTGCAGCTTGATCAGAACTCCTGTCTTGCTGTCATCCTTCTGTGTCTCTTGTCCCTTCATTCCTCCCCACCTAGGTTCAAGGCCCACGTTGATGTGTCCTGCCGGTCGGGACACACAGTGTTTGTGAAAATAGAAAATAAGTGACAAGCTGTAGGGTGCTTATCTCTGGACTAGAATGTGTACTTCAGGGGTCTGGGACTTTGTTTGATCTGCTTGATTTATTCTCACCACTAGCCCATGTCCTAGATGAGTATCTTGTCCATATAGAATAGGCAGGTCATGATTGTGTTGCCTGAATGGATGTGGAATTAGCCACTGTTCCACATTGGAACTGTGGCATTTAGGATTCTACCCCTACCGCTGTTTGCTATAACAGTGGGGTTTAAGTGTTAGAGAAAGCCAAACAAAACAGTACCTGTGAAATGTTTTGTCTTAATGCATTCATATTCAGTTTCTGGCTGAGTCATTCAGGATGTCTTGTTCCTTCCTTGAGTTCATTTCTTAAAAACCTGGGGAGTTTTCTAGGCAATAGAAAATAATAAGTTTTGTTTCTGCTCATTTTAGAAGCAGTTGCTAGGTTAATTAAAAAAATTAATAAAAAATGTAACTGTAGAAAAATGCACTTTGAGTGTTTACCCAAGCATTTTGAATTTGGAGGGTTGCTAATTATTGAACCTGAGACTTCCTGCATGCTAATTACCCACTCTAACACTGACCTATATTCTAACACTGACCTATACCCCCAGACATACCCAGTCACTAGCATGTCTTTACACTAGCAGAGGAAGGTTACCACAAGAGTAAGATTTTTCTGTGTCACAGCCTGTTCCTGGTTTACCACATTCTCATTATGGTAGTCCAGTGATTGAATGAGATCCTCCTCAGTCAATGAGCAAAGTGAAAATCACATTTCACCCCAGTCCCCAGCAGCCCTAGTATCATTGTGAGACAGATCAGGTGTCCCAGGCCATGAATACCAAAATCCTAATGGATATGATTGCTGTGGGGCAGATGTGCTGGAACACATCCCTGGGAATCAGTATATGAGGAAGCACAGCTGTTGGCTTTGATCTTGTGCTTAGAATAAAGACTGATTCCACTGTAAAACAACACATCTTGATGTACACAGCAATTCTGAAGAGAGACTGGCATAGACACCAGAGCTATGAATGGGTGAAGTCAGACCGCTGTTTCATCATTTCTGTGCACCTGCAGTGTTCCTGCCTTTAGGTCTCTCCCTCCATTTGGTTCCTCTTGGTAATTTTACCTCTTTTATTTAGGACTAAATTCAGCTCATTTGACTTTATCTTGGGTCTTAACACAGTCTATACTGCTACACCTCCTTCTACTCTGAGTGTTCCCTACCCTCATGCACACACTTAATTTAATTGAAACATACTTGTATGTGTTCTGTTCCTGTGCATCCCTAAAGGACATCCATGCTAGAAGGATGCAGAGCAATTTCCAGTCCATTTATCAGAAACTGAACAAAGCAGTAAATCATCTATCATAGTGTGTGCTTTGCTTTGTTAATTGGTAAGATATATTTCTCAAATGTAAAGAACAGGTGATAGCTTCTTATACTCTGGAGTACTTTGTTAACAGTCTTTGATTGTTATAGTTAAAGCTTCATCCCAGGATTTCATAAATTGACTTCCAGACCACTCACATATAATTGAATCAAGCCTTTATTGAAGCGCATCGGTGGCGGCTGACCAGAACATAAAGCTGTTCCCCTGATCAGCCCCGAACAATTGCAAGGGCACTCCTTATAAGCCTGAACACCACAAAAGGATGTTCGGGGGGTCTAGCCAATGCAAGCAAGCCAGGTTACAGAAGCAGGACAGTGCAGTCAAGTGGAGGGAAGCCTAACCAATCACAGTTATCCCAGTCACCCCAGTTACAGAAACAGAGCCCCCGTTACCCTAGTTACAGAAACAATGCCCCATTAGGTAGTTCCCTGTTCTTAAAGGTTTCTATAGCAAAAGGAAAAGAACATCTTGCCCCAGTCATGACCCTTGTACTCAGCATGGTTGTTTTACAGAATGGAGTCACAAAACAAAATGGAGTCACATTTGTTTTTATTATCACAGATGATACTTACGATGTGTTGATTTTGTTCTGAATACATTTTAAAAGTGAGGACACTACTGCTGATAGTCTACAAATAATTGGTTCATTAATTGTGTGTAACTTGACTGGGAAGCAGGATTTGAAGAGGCTAATCATCAAACATTATTCAGAAACTATTTTAAGAAGAGTAAGAGTCATGGAGATTATCCATGAGAATTAGCTAATTATTTCATGGACTGTGGACATGGAATGTGTCATTTCCCAAAAGGGATTAGTGGTTTCAAGAATAAGTGAAAAGAATTTTCAGAGCTCTAAGGTATTTTTCTTATAGTTCCTGACTAGTGATTGATATCCTATGTATGCTAGACTTTTAATTGTCTCGACCCCTCGCCGGCAAGGGAAAACATGACACAGGATTCTTCTTTCAGCAGTTTATTCAGGCCTTGATTCAAGTATCATCTTCTAGTGACCCCCCCATCGAGCGCCCAAGCATAGCCTAATAAAGCCTCCCGCATACCAATCTAAAGCTGCCACGTGGACCTTTCTCATAGGGTGGGAAGGGATTGCATGCCAATTCTCCATAAAAGGAGTTGTTTATCACAGGCCACAGTGGAAGCCGGCGCCATCTTCTAATGGCGGCCCCGGTCTAATTAGAACGGCTCACCACATTTAATTAATGATGTTTTTCTTTGAGCTGTGATGCTTGTTGTCTGTCTGCAATTTCATCAGCCTTCAATGAATATATTCAATGCAGACCTTAAACCATAGTGAAGTGGCACCCCCTTTCTCCACAGAAAAGCACTCTTAACCATGGCTGATTTTAGGACTATCAGCAAAAGAGTCTCTGAGAAAGAGTCCAATGTAGATTAACTTCCTATTTTTGTGTTGCCCTGTTTACTTGGCCATTGGCTGAGAAGATACCAGCACTCCAGGTGCTGGACACTCCCTTACTTGTTTTTCACAAATATTTCCAGTATAATATTTTGAAGAAATGTTCAAACAAGGCCTCTGGCCTTGAGCTGGGCTTCATGGAGATGTCTACATTTTTAAGATAAGTTACAAATGGGCTCTATGGGTAACAGCTGGCAGGGGGAGGAAAGAAAGGGGAGAAGAAGCTCTCCCCTTCTCAGGTGTTGTCCTTGAAGAGTTAATTTGCCCAGAACAGTGAAAGAAAAAGCTGCTTTTATGTGAACTTCTGAGCCCCTCCCTTTACACACTAGGTATAAAACTCTGAAACTCCCTGAACTCAGGGTTCAGGGGATTAATTGATTACAGCAAAAGCTATGCCCTCTGAACCTGGCTGCAGCCAAATAAAACTGTTTTCTGCTATCTTCTGTGCCTTGCCTTGTTTGTCCCCACAACAATAGAACTCTTTAAAAAGTGAAATAATACATCAGTATGTTTTTGTGTTTACAGTGGAGTCATGAAACCTGGCCTTAATGCCATCATGGGACCCTCAAGTGGAAGCAAATCTTTGTGAGTACAAAAGAAAGTGTAAATAAGTCTTTTTGGTCCTGTTTCAGTGTGCTTTTACAAATCACATGCATTTTCTGTTCATGTCCGGTCTGGTCCTAGGTCTTGAGGATAACTTGTATTTGGACTAGCTTTAATCTTAGGATCAGATAGTCTTATTAAATTTGGTGTTACAAACAGAGCATAATAAGATCATTAGCAAATAGCAGTTGGCCATGTTATGAGCTAATGAGGAAGAAAGATAAGGAAATACTATTAAAAGGGTAGAAAAGGAGCTGAAGGTCTCAGTGAAGGCATACATCAGAGATAAATGTGCCTACTGCCTGGATTGGGTCCATCGAGGTGAGGGTCATTTGAAAGGGTTATACTAGATAAGCCAGTAATGTCTTGCTTTACTGTTTTGGGGCTTTCTTATAGCACATGATGAAAAGGAAATAAAGAATTTTTGTGTGTGCATGTACACACACACATTAAAGCACAGAACTTTTTGACTAGTTCATTTTCTAACATGAACAGAATTTGAATTCAGAATAGGTGAGAGATGTGGCCTTTGTAGGAAGGAAAACTCACAACAAATATGTCCTATTATAGGTTGCTAGATGTCTTAGCTGCAAGGAAAGATCCAAGGGGTTTATCTGGAGATGTCTGGGTACATGGAGTACCTGAGGAGGCCAATTCCAATGTTATTCAGGATATGTGTTACAGGTAAGTATTAGTGGGTTTTCCTTTTAGATTTCCCCTGTTTCTGTTTGGGAAGAGCCTTGGCTTATAGTTTAGCATGCTTCCAATTGAACATGCTCAGAACCAACTTTCTTTACACCACCTTTACATAATCTCCTTTAAGACCGAGGAAGGAGTTAAAAGTAGAGGCAGATAAAACCTGGAATATGAACCTGTAGGCAGTGATAGCAATTCTAGATTTCCAAAAGGATCTACTATTGTCCTTTTTGCCCTTCCTTCACCTTTCTTTTTATCCTAAAAGAAGCCCCCATGAAATCCTCATACAAAGTATTCTGGAAGTTTTTAGAAGTCACCACAATCACCTGTATTCCATCTGGGTGTGCAGATAGAGAAGGAAAATTATTCCCTGGGCTCCGAAGCTCTGTGTAGAGTCTCTGAAATGTTTAGAGCTGAAAGTTCACCATTACCTAGAAATTTTTCTTGGGTTAGTTATTTTTGTGCATTAACTTACATTCACTGGAGTAATGGTCTGACAAAAAAAAATCAGTGTTCTTTAATTGAAATGGCATTTGCCTTCAGGATGACGTCATGTTGGCAACCTTGACAGTGGTAGAAAACTTGTGGTTCTCAGCTTCTCTTCAGCTTCCAACAACTATGACTATCCTGCATAAAAAAAATAAGGATCTACAAGGTCATTACAGAGTTAAATCTGAGTGAAGTGGCATATTCCAAGGTAATGTGAAAATCAAAACCAGTAAAGAGGACTTCCCTGTGTGGGCAATGTGACCTTAATCAGAAGTTTCCTAAAGTTTAGATTTTTTTTTTTTTTTTGTGTGTGTGTGTGTGTGGTGCTGGGGATTGAACCCATGGCCTTGGACATGTGTAAGGCAAGCACTTGAGCTACATCCTCAGCCCCAAGCAGTTTCCTAAGGTGTGTGGTCAAAACTGGCTGTTTTTTGTAGTGATGAGAAAAGTGACCAGATTCCTATTTTGAAGCAGTAAATTAAGTGAAGAAACAATCTTAAGCATGGTGTAATCCTGGGGATGGAGAGTGGGCTATGTGGAGAGAGCCTTAAATGGCCTTTCCCATGGTCCTCCCACCCTCATTGTTAAGAAACAGCACCACATACAAGCAAAGATGTTGTGTCCACCAATAACTACAAAAAATAAATAAATATTAAAAAATTCTCTCTCTCTCTCTCTCTCTCTCTCTTTAAAAAAAAAGAAACAGATCATTTGATATGTTTGCACTGACTTTTCTTCTCTTTCCTCTTTTAGCTATTCTTCTCCCTTTCATCTTCTGGGGGACATTTTTGCATGGTTTTTTGAAATACACTTCTGGATTTGATAAGTGACAAGAATCTAAGGATTCTTTTTTCATGTGTTCTTTTAGTTATAGATAACACTCTGATTACTTTTGACATAATTAGAAAAGCATGGAATATGGTTGTTCTAAATCAGTCCCCAGTGATTCATTTAGGGGACTGATACTCATATAAAGGCAGCTGTTGGCTTCTTAGAATCTTATAAATAAATTGATTCAAATAATTTTTTTTAGCTTTTTATGGTATCTAAGCATGACATAAATGTAGAACTATAGCCTGATTATTCAAATGATATGATTGATTACCTAATAATTACTGTCACTATATAATTAATAATACCATTCCTTTGGATTTTTCATTTGTTTACCTTTTGTTACATAACTGAAAAAAGAAATAAGCACATTTCCTTACCTTACCAAAACCATTATCAATGAACAAACTGAAAAATGTTTCTGTATCATCAACTGTTTGAAGTCCATCTCTTTTTCACAATCATTTGTATCATTAAAGATACAATAGACAATTGCTTTAGATTAATGATTAATGAAGATTTAATTAAAAAGATTTTTTAATTTCACAATTCTTATGCTTTTCTTAACCTTAAAAATTATTTTTTGTATTAAAGGTTGTAAATAAACATGGATATAAAGGGAAGATGAAAAAATAGGAAAGACATTTGATATTCAATATCTTGTTGACTTTTTCGTTTGCAAATTAATCTCTGTTCAGTACTGACTAACTTCTCAAAAGCTGAATATCATAAGACTTCATGTCCTTGGTCATAATTTGCTACTTAAAGTAGAAGAAAACTTCAAGAAAAATCTCCTTTAGGCAAAGGTTTCCTAAAATGCCCAGCAATTACATTTTTAGTATATTTTTTAAAGGTTTTTTTTTTTTAATCTATTTAGGGAGCTATGTAAAATTAACTAGAGTGATAGTAGTGGTAATATCATGTATTTGTGTAGCACTTTAAAATTTTTAAGCATCAAGTTCATATTTATATTCAAGAATTTTTTTTATTAGTTTATAATAATTATACAATAATTATATAATCTATTATAATAGATTTCATTGTGGATGTTCATAAATGTATATGACACTTTGATATATGTACCCAATTATCTTCTATACTTCATTTGTTAATAGTACCTAATCCAGGGCCATGAGTAGCATTTGATTATGATCTGTTTGGAGACTCCAAATCCCAGATCTGTTTCCTACTTCCTAAGTCCCCAAAACTTTCTTTCTCCTCTCCCCCCTCATTTATTGCTATAAAGATTGGGCCAGTTGCCCAGTGGAATATCCACTTTTCTGGATTTTTCTGAAAAGGTGAATCAGGAATTCTAAGGTAAGTTAAAGTGTAGAAAGCATCATTTTGGGAAAAAATTATGAAATTGAAAATATGCTAAAATGGCATAATATAAAGCATACACTCCTGGCTCCAAGTTGACTCTCTTCTTGTCAATCTACTTGGGATCATTTTATGGAGGTGGTGTGTCAATGGGAGGTGGTTAGATCAATACGAGTAGTTTCCTTTTCCTCTCCTATCTTTATAGGTATTTCCTTATGTCAGAGTCATATTCTTTAGTGTTGTACCTTATTATCTTAAAACTAAATACTTGACTGGGTAAGGAACATACAAGACTATTAAAAGCCTGAGCTTCATATCAGGTGCAGTCACTTGACAACTCTGCACTGGGCCTCAGCTTATGCATATGGTAAACTGAGAAATCTCCTCCTTCTCCCAGGTGTCATTTACTTGATACACAGAATAATCAGCATAATAAGATAACATGTTTCTATGAGGAATGGTACAGGTTAATTCACCAAATGACAATGACCATGTTCAGTTGTGTGGATGATGATAATAATTTGTATTTTAGGTGTAATCTAAAGAATTAAGAAAAGTGACTAGTATAGGAATGGAGCTGGTCCTTGATCCTTCTATCTTGTTCCTGGATGAGCCCACAACTGGTTTAGACTGGAACACAGCATATAAGGTCATTAAACTCCTGAAAAGGTAAATGCTATGGCAACATTGCTTTGTTTTTGTTTTTGTTTTTCCATTTATTTATTCTCTGATCACTTCTATGTACCTGGTATTCTTGGTGCAGGAGTTCAGAAGCTAAAAAAAAAAAGTTCCTTCTTGGTTAGTGAGATACAATGAATAAACAAGAAATGGTTCAAGAAATATGAAACATTAGCATAGGGAAAGAAGGCCATGGTGAGAATGGAAACTTTTTAAAATAGCAGGAGGGTCAGGGAAGACCACAAGCATGTGACATATGAGCTGGGAGAGAGTCAGATGTGCTGTAAATTCAGAAAGACTTCTGGTTGAAAGAAGCAGGCAGTGGCCCTGAGGCAGAGCAAGTCTGATGTGTGTGGAACATGAGAGAGGCCAGAGGGACAGACCCAGAAACTAAGGGTAGCAGAGATTGGCTGGGGGCTTAACAACAAAAATTAACTTATTTATGACTCTAGAGGCAGAAATTTGAGATGGATGCATCCTCAGGATTGTTTCTTCCCTGGCCTCTCTCCTTGGCTTGTAGATGGCTGTCAGCTCCCTTGTGTGTCTTTGTCCTAATTTACTCCTAATTGGAAAGGCAGATGACAACTTTCAAAGACCACATTTAACCTTAATAACTTCTTTGAAGGTGCTGTGTCCAATGTGGCCACATTCAGAAGCACTGGGGGATAGGGTTTCAACACCTGAGTTTGGGGAATATGCAGTTCAGCCCATCACAGGTAGATTAGGATGTGAGGTGGAGTTGGGCAGGTGGCAGATTGCATAGACCTCGTAGACCACGTAAGAAGTATGTCTTTTCCTGTCCCTGGGGCACACAGGAAGTTTTGAGAGTTCCAGAGCAGAGCAAAGGCTGTGGAGAAGACTGTGCAGCAGAGCAAGAGTGAGGGAGGACCCCATGAAGGATCTGCTGGAGGATGATTGGGCTTTGACTAAGAGGGTCATGGTGAGAAGTGGATGCTTTCTGGGTCTGTTTTCAAGGGAACCAACAGGATCAGCTCAGGATTGAGTTGAGATGGGAGGACTGAGACAAACTGCTGAGATTTGGAGCAGGAAGTTGTGGAAGAATGAAATTAAAGAAATGACATTTCCTTCAAGAAAAAAAAAGTGTGAAGGAATATTTATAGGAAATTTTTCAATAGTTGAAACTAAGATATCTCATCTTTAAAAATAAAGAAACATATTTCCAACTGATAGAAAGTCTCCAAGAACAATACAACTGAAATCCTACTCCTCTCACCTGGATTCCTCGCTGTCACAGTTCACTGTATCTGCAGCCTCTCCTTCCCTCTCTGCTGCTTCCTTTTTTTCTGCTAGTGCCCTTTTACCCCAAATACTCCTTACTGCAGACTCCAATCAGGTAGGACACACTATCGTGCCTGCACTCCCCAGTCAATAAGCATGGCTTTGCCAGGTTCTAATCCAGGGCTCCTCAAATTTCACCAATTCTCCCTACTGTCTCAGTTTACATTCTGCCTCAAGATCCTCTCCAGAAACACACTTTTCCTTTCTTCTTCCAATCTGAAACAGTTCATGGTATGACTCTCTGCTGGGAGGATCCAGTGAGTGTTGCATGAGCTGACTCAGGCATGAAAGGATGCTGAGTTCTCAGTGCAACACACCTGGGTATGCACCCCCTGAAGGTGGAAGCAGTCTCCATCATCCGATGGTGGTGGTGTCTGCTGGGCATCTCTGCTCTGAAATTACTATTTTTACCCTGAGAAATGATTAGCATTTTCTGAGGAAATATAACTAGCTCTCATGCCTTGATTTGACAAGTGGAAAATTCTTCAATGTGGCTTTGGTATTTTCACATGTTCAGAATGATTCTTTTACAATAACTTACCTCGTGGTCACTATGCTGCTTTAGGCTTCTCTTGTACATTTCCTGAGTAAACAGGTTCTTCCCAGTGCCCTGGTTCATTCTGGTGTAGTTAATATTTAGAGATCAATATCTGGTTGCTCAGTGTGCTCACTGATCCCAGAGTGGCATTGCTTCTAGGTCCTTAGTAAATTGGGAAGTACATGTATAATGTGTTTGTTGTATATGTACACACACACATATATAATATAAATATACTTTCACATTTTACTTAGAAATATATTGATTACCAACATGTCATGTGGGCATTTGCATGTGATATATATATATATATATATATATATTTTTTTTTTTTACTTATTTGTGTTTCCAGTGCTGGGATACCACTCAAAGCCCTATGTATGTTAATTACCCACTGTATTAATGAACTACATCCCCAGTCCCTATCTATTTTTTTCTATAAAAATACATGCATGAACATAGATCTATAACGCTAGTGTTTCTGTTAGTGTGTGTATATTGAAAAGCCCATGAATTCATAATACTATTTCTGATTTCAATCTAACACCTCTGTCTTAGTTTTAGTCTTTGCCATTTTTATGTTTATAAGTGATTTCGGACAGGGAGAGATTTGGCTCCCATTATCTCAAAGTGTTTACTTACTTGCTCAGTGAATGCTTTAATTGTTTACTGGAACCAGTCGCCAGGTAGTTCTGGTCACTCCCTTTTGTCCATCACCCCTGGAATCTCTCTGGCCCATTTTTTTTTTATGTCAGCTGCTATACACTCCACCTTCATGGCTTCCCTTCTTTGTCACGATCTTGCTTCCTCTGATGCCCATAACCTTATAACCAAGTCTTTATGCTAGAAGAGAGGAAACAGCAGAAGGAAAGATATCTATGGGTTTAAACATCTGAAGTTTAAAATGTCATTTGCACATAAAAGTGAAGATGCCCAGTTATGGGTCCAGAGTTCAGGCTCCATTACAGAACCCATGTATGATATTTTAATTCATAGACATTTTCTTTGTGGTTTGCTCTGCTTAGCACACAGGCATTCTTCCTCATGCAGAGAGCTCTGATCTCTGCATGATCTCTGATCTCCCAAACACTGCTGTGCACGTTCATCACCTGGGGTCTGGTTGAAATGCTGATCCTGTGTCTGTCAGTCTCTGGAAGAGTTCAAAATTCAGGAGTTTTGAAGAGAAAATACTAACAGTGATGCAGCCAGTCCTCAGAGCACACTTTGAGTGGTATGGATCCGAGGCAATCCCATTTCCATCCTCCAGTCCTTTCCCAACTCATTATGTCCTTTAAAGTTCCAGTTTCTAAGTGAAGCGTTCTTCATGGGCTTTTGTTGCCCACTTTAGTTATCTTCTTCACCCAGTACAGCACCAACACCAACAAAAGCACTCACATAAACACTGCTTATTGTGTCACGCTGAACTGCTTCTTGTAGTCTCAAGAGTAGACCTGTCCACTTCACACTTTGTTCACCTTGTTGTTTCACTGTGAGTATCTCTTCTTATTTCACTCCTATTGGGACTTTCAATATTCTACTTTTATCTTTTTCAGATAGGGTTGTAACTCTCTTTTTTGTTTACAAGAAGCCATTAGTTATTTCTAATCCACATCATATTGAAATCAGAGATTCCAATCTCGTGTTTCTCTTTGAGTCAGAACATCCTTGGATACATTTCTAGATGCATAAGGTGCTTATAAAATTTTTAAATTAAAGTGATTCTTCTCTTAAAATATTTCAAGTAAATGTTTTGAATAGTGATTGTGGCCTTTGTGTCTTCTACCCATAAGTAATAACTTCTATAAAGGATAGTTTCGCAGTGTTCCTAGCTTAGCATTAGATCAGAGCTCAGATCTCAAACTTGCCCCATTATTATTATTATTATTTCCCTCTTTTTACAGGTAAGGCTTAAAGGTCAAGTAACTGTGAGCACTGGGTCAGTTGCTTGACCTTTAAGCCTTACCTGTAAAAAGAGGGAAATAATAATAATAATAATAATAATAATAATAATAATAATAGAACTGCCTTATAACAACATGTGTAAGTGGAAATGAGTCTAACTCTAAAGCATTTAGCAAAGACGGTCTTGAGTGCTTAGTAATAATATATTATCAGGACAGAAGAGTGAAAATCAATTCCTAATGAGCCAGAATATTTCAAGGATCAATGAGAATTAGTTATATGATATTCTTTTAATCCTTAGTCAATAACTAGTCTTCAAAATGAGTGTACTTAGAGATAATCTGTGATGCTTATTAATAATATAGACTCCCTATACACACCTCCTGTGATTATAATTCACTGTCTGGGAAGACTATTTAGGAGTCTGCATTTTCACTAAAATTCTAGCCAATTCTAGATTTTTGCTGCACCAAATTTTAAGAATCTTTAGTCTTTTTAATAAAAGCATTGAATTTAGGTTACCACTTACCAACTATATAAGTTGAAATGAGAAGTTTGTAAGAGAAAATCAAGTTGAACTGAGAGGACAATGCTCTACTAGCAAGAATAAAATAATTTCCCAAGAAGTTTCAAGTTCATATGTTTAATGACACATTATTTTCCCTTTTTCATTTAGCATTTCAAAGCAGGGACGAATAATCATCTTCACCATTCATCAGCCTTCATATTCCATCTTCCAGCTGTTTGACAGCCTTACCTTATTGGCCTCAGGAAGATTAATGTATCACGGTCCTGCAAAGAAGACTTTGGAGTACTTCAAATCAGCAGGTGTCATTGACCTTTTCATGTACTAGATCCTTCCTTCATAGACTCCTGGGGAGACCCGAGGGGTCAGCAAGAGTGCTTTAGACCTTGCATAGACCTAACTGGATTTTCACCAATCTGAAACATTTTTGATCAATTTGGTGCCAGAATTTTCTTCATTTTGCAGCACTTGCTTATTGTTTAGATCTCTCTCCTATTTGAGTATGCATGGTGTGTGTGTGTGTGTGTATAAGTGTTTCTCAAGGAATTTTGTCTGTTCTCTTCCCAGCTTCCCAGTTATGGTGACCTTTCCATGAAAGTTTAATAATTGACTCACAGCTAGTTATTTCGTCAGTTGAACATTTTAGAAGTCCCAAATCATTGCTTTTATTTAATATTTATTTTTTTTAGTTTTAGGTGAACACAATATCTTTATTTTGTTTCTATGTGGTGCTGGGAATCGAACCCAGTGCCTCACACATGCTAGGCGATTACGCTACCACTTGAGCCATATCCCCAGCCCCAATCATTGCTTTTTTGACCATGTAACAGATTGTGGTTTCCCAGGGCTTCCCCCGACAGGTGATGTGCTCTGCCTTCCTGGGGGTTCATGGAGATACTGCTGCATTTTCTAGTAACATTAGATTGAAGATGTAGATTGTAATACTTTTGACTGACTATTACTAAAAAGAATGGCTCTTTCTGAATCTGACATTAACGGGCCAACATTTCCAGTTCTTTATATTTCAGATTGAAATATTGTTGATTTCTTTAATGGCTTATCTATCTGCTTCATTTTAGAGGTTTTGGATATGATTATAGATGTTTCTGCATGACTCAAAATAAAGTTGTAATTAATCATTCTCTTTTTTAAAATTTATTTTAATTAAATCTCTGTCATTTAAAAAATAACCAAACACAGGTAAGTCTGGGGAACCCAGGGAAGATGAACTTAAGAGTTAGAGCTCAGGCCAGTTTAGATGATTGTGCCACAGGAAGTTGAGGTGAGAGCTCAGGTGTGCTGTGCTGATCATGTTCTCTTGATAATGCTGCTCTGTAAATTTGTTGTCTCTTTGGAATTATAGCAGCTTGAGAGATGATCATTTCGATCTCTGATTTTAGTAGGTTGTGAAGCAATCTCTGCTGATAAACATTATACTGCTATCCCAACATTCTCTAGATGAATTCAGGCTGCACAATACACACAGACTCAGTATTTTTTTCTTGGATCTATATTTAGATTTTTGAGGAAGTACTGAGAAGCACCAGAGCATACTGATAGCCACTTGGGATTTAAAGAATTATGAGAAGTAAGGACTAATGTAAGATGTTCTAAAGAATTCAAGAATGTTTTGAAATATGCTTTTTTATTTACTGGAAACAGATTTGTTGAAATATTGTGTGACTGAATAAATAAAAGCACAGGATATATTAGTGATGGAAAAAGAGAAAAAGAAGATAAGGAAGAAATTATTGAGTCAGTATCTCACCTCCATCAGGCTTAGTGAGTCCTCTCTATTTTCTAAGACATAGGGTAAGTTTTGGGGGGTTTCTTCTTATCTTCCTTTCTTTCTGTATTAACTTTTTAAAGATTGTTGTTTTAGATAGACATGACAGTAGAGTACATTTTGACAATATCATACATACTTTGAGTATAAATTATTCTAATTAGGATTCTTGCAGTTGTAATAATGTGGAATTTCACTGGTGGTGTATTCAGACATGAGTATAAGAAGGTTATTTTCAACTCTTTCTACTGTCTTTCTTATTTCCTTTTTTTTTAATTTTTTTAATATTTATTTTTTAGTTATCGGCGGATACAACATCTTTGTTTTGTATGTGGTGCTGAGGATCGAACCCAGGCCGCACGCATGCCAGGCAAGTGCGCTACCGCTTGAGCCACATCCCCAGCCCCTGTCTTTCTTAGTTCCAACTTCTGCCCTTCCCTTTATTCCCCTTTGTCTAATCCAATAAACTTCTATTCTTCCCTCCCCCACCTCTTATTGTTTAGCATCTGCATAACAGAGATGGCATAAACATTTTGGTTTTGAGGATTAGTTTATTTCAATTAGCATAATAGTCTCCAGTTCCACCCATTTATTAGCAAAAGGCATAATGTTATTCTTTTTTATGGCTGAGTAATATTCCATGGTGTATATATAGCCCATTTTCTTTATCCATTCATCTGTTGAAGGATATCCAGGTTGGTTCCAGAGCTTAGCTTCTGTGAATTGAGCTGCTATAAACATTGATGTTACCATGTCACTATAGTATGCTGACTTTCAGTCCTTGGGAATAAACCAAGGAGTGGGATAGGTTGGTCAAATGGTGGTTCCATTCCAAGTTTTCTGAGGAATCTCCATACTGTTTTCCATAGTGGTTGCACTAATTTGCAGTCCCACCAGCAATGTATGAGTGTACCTCTTGCCCCTCATCCCTGCCAATATATATTATTACTTATATTCTGCTTTTTTGGGGGGTGGGTACCAGGGATTGAACTCAGAGGCACTAGACCACTGAGTCACATCCCAAGCACTATTTTTTATTTTATTTAGAGACAGGGTCTCACTGACTTGCTTAGTGCATTGCTTTTGCTGAGGCTGGCTTTGAACTTGCAATACTCCTACCTCAGCCTCCCCAGCCACTAGGATTACAGGCGTGCACCACCTCTCCTGGCTTATTACTTATATTCTTGATAATTACCCTTTTGACAGGCATACAAAATCTCAGTGTAGTTTTAATATGCATTTCTCCAATTGCTGAAGATGTTAAACAATTTTCATGTATTTGTTGACCGTTTATATTTCTTCTTCTGTGAAGTGTCTGTTTAGATTCTTTGCCCATTTATTGATTGGGTTATTTGGTTTTTTGGTGTTAAGTTTTCTGAGTTCTTTATATATCCTGAAGATTAGTGCTCTATCTGAGGTACAGGTGGCAAAGATTTCTCCCATTCTGTAGGCTCTCTTTTTACAATGTTGTTACTTTTAATGTGAATAAGTTTTTCAGATTGATACCATCCCATTTATTGATTTTTTATTTTACTTCTTGTGCTTTAGGAGTCTTTTTGAGGAAGTTGGCTTCTAAGCCAACATGATGGAGAGATAGGCCTCCATTTTCTTCTAGTAGGTTCAAGGTCTCTGGTCTAATCCCTAGGTCCTTGATCCGCTTTGTGTTAATTCTTTAGCAGAGTTAGATAGAGGTTCAATTTCATTCTGCTGAATATAGATTTCCAATTTTCCCAACGATTTTTGTTGAAGAGGCTGTCTTTTTCTGATATATTTTTATGGCACCTTTGTCTAGTATGAGATAACTGTATTTATGTGGGCTTGTCTCTTAAGTCTCCTATTCTGTTCCATTGGTCTTCATGTCTGTTTTGGTGCCAATAGCATACCATTTTTGTTACTATAGCTCTCTAGCATAATTTAAGGTTTGGTATTGTGATGCCTCCTGCTTCACTTTTCTCATTAAGGTTTGCTTTGGTTATTCTGGGCCTTTTATTTTTCCAAATGAATTTCATAATCATTTTTCCTATTTCTATGAAGAATGTCATTAGAATTTTAATAGGAATTGCATTAAAACTGTATAGCACTTTTGGTAGGGTGGAAATTATGGGGTATCTTCTTTTCTAGGTTACTTCTGTGATAGCTATATCAGCCCTGCAGAATTCTTCATGGGTGTCATTACTGGTACAATAAAGAGAGAGTCAGAAGACCAGGAAGGTATGTGCATCTCTTACATATCCATATTTTTGCCCAACTGAGTTGGTTGAGGTTTGGCAATGCAGTAGCTCATTAAAACATGTCCTTGTGAACTTACACAACAGTGTGCTGAACACGTAGATTTTGTTGTCAGTGAGTGCTGTCGGTATTTTTATTTATTTTATGAATGAGCATTCTAATTTTTTTTGTACTCAAGTTAGGAGTTATACAAAATAAGAGGAAAAAGAAAAACTGGTGAAACCAGTAGTAATCTGTTAATAATGAGGCAGTAATTTGTGACCTGTTATCCACTTTTATTCCAAAGCCAACAAGACTGAAGTGCCTTTGAGTAGAAAAGAGTCAATAATAGAAGCATTAGCTGGTTTTTATGCCAAATCCTCTCTATACGAAGAAACTAAATCTGAACTGGATAGATTCTCAAAGGATCAGAACAAGAGGAGCTTACTCAGGAAGGAGATCTCCTATGTTACTCCATTCGGTCATCAGTTTACAGTCATCACCTGGCGTTCATTCCAAAGTTTGGTGGATCATCCCCAGACCTGGATAGCTCAGGTAACAGATTCTTTTAATTATGCTGTAAAATTATTATACGAGAGCAATCTGGTTCTGATATGGACTCCAACAGGATTATTTTATCTTTTACCCATCCTTCCATTTATTTGTCATTTCCCATTCTATTTGAGATATAGAGAGTCAACTGAACCAGTGTTATGGTTTGGATATGAAATGTCCCCCAAAGACTCATGTGTTGAAGGCCTAGCCCCATAAGCAGCAGTGTTCAGAGATGGGGCTCTTGGAAAGTGGCTGGATCATCTGACCTCATTTATTGGTTTATTGATTGAGAGATTCATAGTTTGATGGGGGTAATGGGAGATGGAGAAACTGTAGGAGGTGAGGCCTAGTTGGAAGAAGTAAGTCACTGGGGTAAGGGGTGCCATGCAACAGTTCATCTTCTCTCTGGCTGCTTCCTTGCCCTCTCTGCTTCCTGGCTACATGAAGTAAGATGAGCAGCTCTGCTATCATGCCCTCCTGCCATGATGTGCCACGTCACTTCAGGCCCCAAACAACATAGTCAGGAGACGATGGACTGAAACCTCTGAATCTATGAGCCAAAATAAATATTATCTACTGTTTTAGTCAGTGTCTGTGTTTCTGTGACAAAAATCTCAGACAAAATAACTTCCAGGAGGAATAGTTTATTTGGGGCTCACAGCTTCAGAAGTCTCATTTCATAGAGGACTGACTTTATTGTTCTGGGCCCAACGTGAGGCAGCCCGTGGAGTGGTCAGGAAGCAGGGGCCCCAGGAAGATCAACCCCATCAGGGCATGCTCCCCAGTGACCAGTCTGTTTCCACCACATCCCATATGACCACAGTTACTACTCAGACATTCCATTCCAACTAGGATGGACTGATTAGGTTACAGCCTTCACAGTTCATTTTACCTCTGAATATTCTTGCATCATCACAGAGGGTTTTGGGAGGATACTTCATATCCAAGTCAAAACATCCCCTTTAAGTTGATTTTCAGAGCTGTTTTGTCCCAATGACAAAAAGCTGAGTAACACAACAGGTAAAAGGCAATTAAATTTTTACTCATGCAATGCCTTTTATGTGCTTTCCTGGACTACATAACTCAAAACTTTTGATGATATAGGCAAACTCTAATGGGAAATCTTCATCAATTTTTATTTTTTTTAGAAATATGAAGCAAAGAAAAAATCAAGTAAATATGACATTTTCTTGAAGCTGTCATTTATTGATTCATTCCAAAAATTCAACCCAAGTGCTCATGCTCCATTTAGATACTCTACTACAATAGTGAATGAAATGGGTAAAATAAAACCCTCTGCTGGAATAGATCTTATTTTCTTAAGAGGATAGAGATGATAGTTGAACAAAGAAAATACATAGCATGCCAGTTGGTAGAGGGGATTATGAGGAAGGTTTAAGGAGAGAGAGGTAGACAAAGGGGAGGGAGAGGCCTGAAGGTAGATTGATGAGGGTTGGTTTGCCCTTGATATCAGGTGTTGAAGGAACCTAGTGTTCCTTCACTTGACTACACCTGAAGGTAGTTTGTTCCGTGCACTGTCTGAGTGTAGAGCCTGTAGGTAGAATGCTGTTCCTTGTAATTGACCCTCTTCATGGAGAGATTCTGATGTTGGTAAAGCAAAAGATGTCTCAAAGAATGTGCAATTTATGCACAGGAAGTAACCACACTGAACAAGACTATTCACTGTCCACGTAACTCCCTTAATAATATGTGATAATTTTTTTTTTCTTATTCTTTTACTGGTTCTGTGATAGTTATTGATTATCACTCCTCAGGGCTTTTTGTTTCTCCCCAGTGCTGGGGACTGAACCCAGGGCCTCACACATGCTGAGCAATGGCTCTGCCCCTGAGCTAGAGAGCCAGCCATTGTTTTAGTTATTCTTAGCCCTTATGTCACACAAAACTAGTTCTCCCAGTTCATTGGCCCATTGTTTATAAGAAAATTAATTTAGCTGGCTATTTTGGGGGTTATTATTTTATTATCAGTCATTGACATTCTGTGGAGTATACAGATGTGTTATATTGTTGACTTTCCTGTGTGAGCACATCACTTTTTATACTTCAGTACTGTTGCTTTCCGAGTGCCCCTGGGAGCCAGCATCCCCTTTTCAGTCATGCTGTCCATCCTGGAAACATTTTTTTTTTTTCTGCAAATATTTTTGATCCTTGTGCTTTGGCGTTTCTCCCAGAGCACAGGCATTTTTGTGCCCTACAGTTCGGTCAGCTTTTTTGCTGCTGTGACTAAAGGATCCGACCAGCACAACCTTAGGGGAGGAAAAGTTTATTTGAGGCTCACAGTTTCAGAGGTCTTGGTCCAGAGAAGGCTGGCTCAAGGTGAGACAGGACATCATGGCTGGAGAATGTGACAGAGTGAAGCCGTTCACATCACGGTAGTCAGGAAGCAGAGAGAGAGACAAGCCACTCACCAAATATAAATATATACCTCAAAGCCACACCCCGATTCCCATCTCCTCCAGCCACACCCCACCTGTCTCCAGTTACCAGGTCAGTAAATCCCATCAGGGATTAATTCACTGATTAGGCTAACTCTATAAACCAATCATTTCTCCTCCAAACCTTCTTCTGTTGCCTCACAAGTGAGCTTTCAGGGGACACCACATCTAAAGGTAAAACCTATCAACCAAAGGTAACATTGTATTCTTTCATAATAGAACTGATGCCATTTGGAAAATCATCAGGTGAGTTAGATCCATGAACCAAGAGAAATAATATAGTGAATTGATACTTTAGAGTGATTTATGTATTAGGGTTTTTTTTCTTGCCTCTACAGTGGGTATGTAAGTGTCTAAGACAGTTATGGGTAGGGCATGATTACCACACAGCTACTTGTAATACATTGGGACTGTGTGTGGTTTGCGTCTAACCTTCCTTAAGGTGCAGACACCAGGCCAAGAGGTTCCAGGTTGCATGTTCAGCCTACTTGCCTCATCAGTGAACTCAATTCCACAAAAGGAATTCCAGCAATGTTCAAAGAAGAAGCAGCCTCTAGATTAAGGGTAGAACTTTGTAAGCTACCTGAATTTAGCAGGAAAATTCTTTTTTAGAAAATTTGTTTTAATTAGTTATATATGACAGTAGACTACATTTTGATACATCATATATAATGAAGTATGATTTCTCATTCTTCTGGTTATACATGATGTAGAATCCCACTGGTCATATAGTTATATATGTACATAGGATAATAAGGTCTGATTCATTCTACTATCCTTTCTACTCCCATAATACCCCCTCTTCTCCTTTTGTTCCCCTTCACCTAATCTACAGTAACTCTATTCTTCCCTAGAGTCCCCCCCCCCCCCCCCCTTGTGAATTAGCTGCATATCAGAGAAAACATTTGGCCTTTGGCTTTTTAGTATTGGCTTATTTTGCTTAGCTTGATATTCTCCAACTCCATCCATTTACAGGCAAATGCTATAATTTAATTCTTCTTTAAGAATGAGTAATATTCCATTCTGAGCTCTACACACACACACACACACACACACACAGAGAGAGAGAGAGAGAGAGAGAGAGAGAGAGAGAGAGAGAGAGAGAACACATTCTTTTTAATCCATTCATCTGTTGAAGGGAACCTAGGTTGGTTCCACAGTTTAGCTATTGTGAATTGAGCTTAGCAGGACAATTCTTGTTTAGCTTTGTAAATTCTGGAATATTTGCTCAGGAGAAGGCAAACACTTTTTGGTAAAGGCCCAGAGGTAAATATTTTGCACTTTGAGGGCCACATATGGCATTTGTCTTGGGTAGTCAACCCTGCTTTTCTTTATAAAAGCAGCCACAGCTAATACATACCTGATGAACATGGCAGCGTTCAAATAAAGCTTTATTCATAGACACTGAATTTGGAATTGTATAGATGTTCAGTATTGCACAAAATATTATTCTTGACCTCGTCTGATGTAGGACAGACAAGGCTGGACATGAGGAATCAGCAGAAAGCAGGTTTATTGGCTGCAGCCTGTCCAGAGGGGCTTTCACCTAAATCAATCCGTCCCTCTGAACCCCTAGTCCAGAAATTTTTAGAAATTCATACCCAGTGTATGGGAAGGGGGATGGGCTCAGAGACTCACAATTTGCAGAAGTCTACATAAAAGTAGGTTTTTTACTGTAGTGGCCTGAGTACAAAAATAAACCAAGGACACTCTCTCTGAAATTAGTGCTGGAGAAAGGGAGGATTCCTCTTCCCTGTGCTCCACAGCTGGTTTTGGAACCTAATTACCACCATTCCCTGGATTGTAAAGGACTTTCCCTAGCATCTAATTATGTTCCTTTGAAGTGCAAATGCCCCTGTGCAGGCTCCAGGCTCAAGGCTTGAGGCCTTCTGAGAGGAGCCAGTCTCTCTGGGGCACTCTCTTGTAAACATGCTTCCCTCCTAAAAACTCTTACTAACAATCATAGATTGTTTTAGACTAGAAAATTTATGACACTAGATAGCCTATAAATGTTGACAAAAACTAGTAAGTGGTGCTCGGAATCTGGAGTGCTGATCTCCTCCAGGCCCTGGAACACCTTTAGTTGTTGCAAGATAAAGCAAAAGGAAATCAGAAGCCTAACCACATTTTCTTTTGCAGAAATTCTTGCTGCTCCTCTAAGAACAATTATGGTGAGGGTCTCTGGAGAAGCTTGATTAAGATTTTCTGTGTGGGGCTGGGGATGTGGCTCAAGCAGTAGCACGCTTGCCTGGCATGTGTGCGGCCCTGGTTCCATCCTCAGCACCACATATAAACAAAAGATGTTTTGTCTGCCGAAAACTAAAAATAAATAAATAAATATTAAAATTTAAATAAAAAAAAAAGATTTTCTGTGGAGGAGAGAATGCCACTACAGTTCCTCCCAATTATTGAAAAAAAAAAAAAAAATGGAAAACCATTCTTTGTTCATGGGCTTAAGAAAAATACAAGCCTAGCCCTGTTTGGCCTGTGGACCACAGTTTACTGACCCTTGGCATAGGGTTTTTGTTCTTTTATTATTTTTATTCCTCTAAGTTTTTGAAAATAGAGTTGCTAAAGTGAATTATGGCTTCTTGATGATAATCCTGTATTTATTGTCTCATTGTTCTAATTTGTTCTGGTCTAGTTATTTATTGACATGATTCAGACTTGACATCTAACCAGCTGGTGTATGGGGAAGATGTAGGTATAAATGGATTATTTGAAAAAGGTTTAGTTTTTATTTAATGTGCCAAGTTTTCTTATCAAATCAACTTAGACAACATTATCATTAATCACTGGGAGAGTCATTGTGTGTATTTGCATATTTGCATATTAAACATTTTACTTTGGATTTTTTTTTTTTTAGTGCAAGCTACAAACATCCCTCAATCCCTCAGAACACACTTTGAGAAATGTTGTTTAAGTATGTTTGAACAAATGAAGAATAAGGTGGTTGGAGAATTTCTTTTTTAAATCTGTTTTGAACAGATTAGAGGACAGACACACAAAGCTCATAGATAGCGTCATTTAATCTATGGTGAAATGTTCATTTTGCTCAATGATTTTCTTTTTCTTCAGGGAAGAAGGAACAACACATGTGAACCTTGTGAAAATGTGGCATGATCCCAGGATTCATCATTTTACAATATGTTTGAAAAAAACTAGAAAAAATTCTAATGATATTAATATCTAATGATATTAATTTAAATGTCAAATTTGAATGCAAAAAAATGAAGAAAGCAGAACATCTATTGGGAAGTCTGAATATCTTAGAAGCCCTACTGTGTAAAAAACAACAACAACAACAACAGATTCTTGTATACATGAGCATGCTGCATGTCCATAGAACCATCTGTATTTATTTTGAAAGTCTGATCTGTTGAAATGAAGCAAAGCATATTCTGAGGGTGTTGGAAATGGTAGGGTAATGAGTCCCCTCCTAAATTTCTCTTATTAGCAGAGGGATTTTAAGGACAGGTCATGGGTGAAACATTTAATTAACATTGTTTCCAGAGTGCAGTTTTTACAAACTAGCCTTTACAGATCATGATTCTGTTTTTGCATTTTGTTTAACTTCTTGCCATAGTGTGATTTACAATTTAGTTCATGGCTGGATATTGTGGTAACACTGAGATTTTCTTTACCTCTGACATTTTCAAGATATATGGCAGGATATTTTGTTTTCTTTATGTCAAAATTTTCTCTGTTATTGTATTTAATTCAAGACTAATTATAAGTAGAATTCCTCAATTGACTATATCACAATATAATCCTTAACCTTTTGCCAATTAAAGCATTTTTAAGTCACTTTTTATTCTATTAACAAGTGTGATGGTGGTGCATTCTCTCTGGGACCCATTTACACAGACTAAATAGGTGAAGATGGGTGAGAATGGCAAAGAATTGGAGGCTTGGGTGTGCCAAGTGTACTGTAGACCTCACTGGCTGGGGTTGAAAGACCAGCAATGTCAGAGGAGATGGTAATGGAACCTTTGAGTATACTCAGCTGGCTGAAAGCTTTGGTGACAGTGACAATGCGCTTTCCAGGGCAAGTGGAGACTCTGCACAGGTTGAATAGGTGCATGTTGCTACTTCCATATCATTCAAAATTCCTTTGTTAGGTGTGTGTGTGTGGGGGGGGGGGCAGGGTATTAAGTTTTTATTTATCTGTTCATTTTGAAGGGATGGGGATCAAAGTCTATGTGTGTCACATGCTAGGCCAGCATTCTTTTATTGAAATTTTATGTATTTCTACTGATCAGAGTGAAGCTTCCTGTTTTGACTTGAACCTCTTCAAGCATAAAGCTGAAGTTCATTGGCATAAAAGTTGAGAGCTTGTTCCATCAAAACTCTGAATTTGTTTCTGAAATTACTTTCCCCACACCTGCATCACTCTGCTGCAGCTCACTATGCCTGGACAATCTTACCTTGTCTAGTCCTCTCGTCCTGTCAGTGCCCAAACAACAGAATCTTCACATTTTCAATATGACTTAGAAAGCAGTGATACTGTGGCCACATAATTTAAAGTGTGCATCTTAGTGGAGAGATTTGATTGGGTAGCCATATATTTTATAATAATGAAATTTTTACATGCAATTGAAACTCTTTCCTTCTTATTTTCATTTTTTCTCTTTGAAAAGATAATTGCCACATTCATTCTGGGACTCGTGATAGGTACCACTTTCCTTTTGCTGATGGATCATTCTATTGAAATCCAACTTAGGTAAGTAAATTTGGATCTTGATTTTGAGAAAATTCTGACATTTTGTTCAGGCTCAAAGATACCCATTAAGAATTTTTATGACAATACAGGGTAAATGTTGCTGTTTTATTATGGGGTAGCATCAGTTAGTGTATTACAAATCAATGGAACAGCTAAGTTTTGGTTTTGCTCAGGTATGAATGTGTGTGGTGGTAAATTACACACATCTTGTATACTTAACCATTTTTAAGTGCATATTTGGGAGGCATCAAGTACATTCACATAAACTGTCATCCAATCCAGAGCAACTTCATCTTCCAAGGTAGAATCTTCAACCCACCTAATGAATAAGCACCCACACTCACCTCTCCCACCTCTGTAACCATCTTTAACTTTCTATCAAATTTTTTGGCTATTACAGGTACCTCACAAATGTGAAATCATATAGTACTCATCTTTTCATGACTTCCTTATTTTCTTTAGCATAATGTCCTCAAGGTTCTAAATTGTAGCAGGTATTATAATTTCTTTTCAGTTTTAAGGCTGAGGAATATTCTATCATATGTGTATTCTACATTTTATTTTTCCAATTATCCATTGCTGAAAATCTGTTGTTTACATGTTTTGGCTATTTGTGTGATCCTGCTATGGGCTTATACATACATGTTTGAATTCTTTGTTCAAACAGATACCCAGAAGTAGAATTTCTGAATCATGTGGAAATTCTGTTGATTTTCAGAACTATTGCCATACACTTCTACTTCATTTTACATTGGGTAAAACCAGAAGCGTACAGAGTTTCAATTTCTCCACCTTCTCATCAAAACTGATTCTTTTTTTTCTTTTTTGAAATAACAGAGGTTATAGGATCTTTAGAGATATGTCTGTTTTAAGTTCTTTGCCAATTTTAAGATAGAATTATTTAGTTTTGGGGGTTTTGTTGTTGTTGCTGCAGAGTTGGAATCCTTTATACTTATGAATTATTAATGCCTTTTCAGATACATGACTTACACATATTTTATCCCATTTCATGGGGTTCTTATCTCTGTTGATAGTGTGTTTTATGCACAGCTGTTTTTAATTTTGATATAATCCAGTTGATCTTTTGGAGTTTGTGAGCCAATTTCCTTTAAGGTTTCTATTGGAATGACTTCGGAGTATAGGATACGTGGATGGGACTGAGTTATTCCTAACTCTCATTTGGAAAGTACTTGTCAATGTTATGATCCTTTCTAGTTTCAGTCATAATGTGCCCTAGAAGTTTTCATTCCAGGATGTCATTTTAAACAGCTGCATCATATTCTGAGTTAGATTCTCAACAATGTCAGAGATCTCCCATCATAATGCATGTTTAGAGAACCACTTCTCTCTAGGCTGGTTTTCGCTGTCAGTTCAGTTGTTTGGTTAGGAAGGGAAGCCCCTCCCTTAGGAAATGCTCTTAGGAAATCCTTATTTCTGTTGAAGTGTAAATTAGGCGAGCGCTTTTCTTTCTAAACCTAAATTATTTATGAAGAAATAAGCATTAATAGTCTTCATACATATGATCAAGTTACTTTTTTATTATGAATAAGCATGAGATTGATTTCTGTTTTGAGCACTTTGGAAATCCTGTAGGAAAGTGGCTGTCCCATATCTAGGATAACTGTCAAGGCTACTGATGGTCCTGTCCTGGGTGACCGCAGTAAAGAGCCGAAAGCAGGTTTCTTTCACCATCTCATTTTCTTCCACATGTCTTACTTTCTTATTACTTCACTTTAAAATCACCTCAATTGATAATTAAATATTTTAATCCTTGGGAGCTTTATTTAGGTTAATATTTCACTTTTCATATGTTAGGAATGATACTCAGCGTTTTTGTGAATTAAATTGAAGATGAAGAGGGTTTTTTTTGTTGTTGTAGTTTGTTGTTGTTGTTACCTCAGGTTGTCATAGCAAAATCCCATGTTTTTTTTTTTTTTTTTTTTTTTTTTTGTGTGTGTGTGTGTGTGGCTTAAACAACAGAAATTTATTTTCTCTCAGTACTAGAATCTGGAAGTCTGGGGGTCAGTGCTCACTTCCAGCAGGTCAGGCTCCCATGAAGGTGCCTCTCTGGCTCTTAAATGGGGCCTTCATTGGGCATCCTCTCATGGCAGAGAGCAGCTGGTGTTCTTCCTCTTCACCAATTCACTGATTCCATCATGGGATCTCCACTCTCATGACCTCATCTAAACCTTATTACTTCCCTAAGGACCTGCCTCCCAGGACTGTAACATTGGGGACTATCTCTTCAACATATGAATTTTAGAGGATACAAGTCAGTGCACAGCAACCCCAAACTGGTATTTCAATATGTGCCATAGTGTGGAGTCACAGGGGCACCACTGAGCTGGGGGAGCAACTAGAGAGGGTCATACCTTCCCTATCTGTTTAAATTTAAAGAGCTCTACTTTTCTTTTTTAAATATATTTGATGTTACATTATTTCTGGAAGGAGTTCTGTGGGAAGAAACCAACCTAAGAGTGTTGAGTTGACTAAGGTGCTTTTGTTCCCATTCTGTCCTGACAGAGCAGCAGTGCTGTTCATCCTGATGGTCCACCAGTGTCTCAACAGCGTGTTTGCTGTGAAGCTCTTTAGAGTCCAGAAGCAGCTCTTTATGTGAGTTGGTCTCAGTGGGGCATTGCTGACTGGGGAAAAAGTGTTTCCATTCAGAATTGGACCAGAAATGTGGTTCTGGGGATTACTGAAATTTTTCTTTTCTTTTCCCTTGTGTTCTTTATGTTTTAAATTGGCATATATAAGTTGTACTTATTTAACAGGTATAATACAAGCTTTTTTTTTTTTTTTTTTTTGGCGGGAGGTGGTACCAGGGATTAAACCCAGGGCCATTTAACCATTGAGCCACATCCCTAGTCCATCCATCCATTCTTTCTTCTTCTCCTCCTCCTCCTCCTCCTCCTCCTCCTCCTCCTCCTCCTCCTCCTCCTCCTCCTTCTTCTTCTTCTTCTTTTTTATTATTTAGAGACAGGATCTCTAAATTGCTTAGGGCCTTGCTAAGTTGCTGAGGCTGGCTTTGAATTCACAATTCTCCTGCCTCAGCCTCTGGAGCCACTGGGATTACAGGTGTGTGCTACCACACCTGACACAACACAAACTTTTGAACTAGGATAAGGACAATAAATATTAATTGAGAAAAAGCAGTATTGATTGAGGTGGAAAATCAAGAGTATGTGGGGCTGCTACAAAGAAAACAGAAATTTTAAGGTAAGGGTGTGGTCAGCAAATACCAATTCTGCAGAGAGAAATAAAGGGGCTGAGAAGTATCTTTTCCTTTTAGAAAATAATAGGTCATAATGACCCTCTCAAGGAAATTTTCAAGGACTTTGGTAGAGATTAAATGGTGGATTAAGCAGCAAATTGAAAATGGTAAATGAAGTTGACAAAGTATGTGGCCTGCACAGAGCCAGAGGGCAGCCTCACAGGAAAAAGCAGGATGGTTTTGTCCCTTGTATTTTTCAAGGATGGAGGAAATTTACCCAGGCCTTCATGCCCAGGACAGGAATCTCCAGAAAGGGAAGGAATAAAGACACTGTTGGAAGAGTTTGGAATTTGGGGAGAAAGGTGTTAGGAAGAGGGGAGATGAGGGTTTGATTGCTGACAGTCCCAAATCATGGAGGCAGGGTCACTGGAGGAAGAAGTCTTTTTCTTTTTTTAACACGAGAGAAGTAAACAAACTTAGCCATCTGAATCTGTTTGTGGGCCTTGGAAAGTAGCAGTGTTACTTTCACACTCAGAAGTGGGGAGAAAAAAAGCCTGTTACCACCAAGATTAGCCCCTGAAGTGTTCTCTTCAGGCAGAGCCAGCCTCAGAGGAGAAGCAGCGTCTCTGAGGAGAGTGAGGAGACTCTGTCCCTGGACGGGTGATGTGGGGTGAGACTGGGCAGCAGCAGGAGGGGAGCTGTCATGAGAGAAGGTCACAGCAAGAACCCTGTGGGGATGATGTCCCAGGGAGGCTGCACCTGAGGTGGAGAAGGGTGTGGGGAGTCAGGCTAAAACCCAAGGGCATCTGCAGTGTCAGACCTGGTGGCAGCAGGAGACTGCACAGCAGCATCTCATCTTGGCTGTGCCTTCTTGGATTAATCTGGGATGTGTGGTATGTGTTTTTCTTTCTTTCTTTCTTTTTCTGTAGACAAGAGTCTAACAGTGGATACTACAGAGTGTCATCTTATTTCTTTGGAAATATTTTATCTGATTTACTATCCAGGAGGTTCTTGCCAAGTTTCATATTTACTTGTACACTTTACTTCATGGTGGGTAAGTAACAAGACTTATTAGATGTCTCTGGTCTTGGACATGTGAAAAATTTAAGTTCTCTTTGCAAACATGTTTTTGGTTCCCCAAACTATAAAACAAGCTATAAGGGAAGAAGATAGACTTTTTCCCAACTAAACTTTAAAATGTATTCACAAAACTATATTTTTCTGAGAGATGCTATGTGTCATACTCAAACATGGAAAGCATTTGTAGAACTCAAACATGGAAAGCATTTGTAGAACAAAAATTTGAGAATGCTCCAGAAAAGCTGGGATATTTATTGCCTATCTCTATTTTTTTCTCTTCTTACTACATGTATCTCTATAAAGAGATAAAATATACATAGGAGGGTAATATCTCCAATGTATGTAGAGATATGTAGAGACACATAAAAAACAGTATACACATATGTTCTCTCCCTGATTAAATAAAATTACTTGTTTGATGAAGTAGACAGAACATTTCTGCATTATGCTCTGGCTTTACCTAGGGTCCTTGAATTACCATTTCTATATGTTTCACTGATATGCACATGCACAACACACACCTCAGAATTTTCTTTTTAGAAAACACATTGCAAGAGAAGAACAAGTGATGCAGCTTGAATTTTTCATTTTACAAATCAGAGGTATGTTGTAAGAATTAGACTTGGAATTTAAAGTCATAGATTCCTGATCAGTGTTCTTGCAGCTGTTTGAAAATCTTTAGACCGTATCACACAGAGCATTAGCTCATGATATTTATAAAGCAGTTTAAGAAACTTAACAGCCCCATTCTCAATCACAGAGCCATGTGGCAATTATTCTAGGGGGACTTTGGTTTGGGAAAAACCTCCACTCAATGAAGGGAAACTGAAATTTGTGACCCAGGGTAATTGCATAGTGGGGGAGATTTTTGTTCTCTTCGCAGTTTACTGAGTGCTATTGGCACACACACACACATACACACACACACACACACAAATAGTTCCAAATACACAGTGAGCTACATAGTTGAACTGATCTCTTTCTTTCTTTCTAACGATCAAAACCAGCAGTGGAGGCTTTCTTCATTATGGTCTTTACCCTCATGATGGTGGCTTTTTCATCCATTCCCATGCCATAGGAGCAGGTTATACTCACGTATATCTAGGAATAGGTGCCATGGACGCTTATTTTACATTTATGATGGTGAGTGTGTTCTGTGCTTCTCTGTGACAGAATTTTCTCCCTTGTTTGTCCTTATACCTTCCTGTCATGTAAAACCAACTTTGAGGATTTTGTGACTAGGACTCTGATGCTTTCAGGAGGCCCTAGACTGAAATATACTTTACAATATACAACTTAACCACTTTCCTCTCTGCTCTTATTCAGTCTTTTTTTTTTTTTTTTTTTTGCTAGTTTCTAATATAGTTATTTAACTTAGGCTCCATGTCATTAATAATGAGCTTTTAAAAGAGACTTCTTGGTGACATATAAAATCTTGATAAATTAGTAATTAAAAAAAAACAGAATAATTGGCTGATTCCCTCACAAAACCCACAGGTTTTCCTCCTGCTGGTGTTAGAGAACTGACAGCTGTTTAAGCAGCAGAGGTGGTTTGGTTAAATTCACTGCTCCCCAAGGTTAAAGTCAGCTCCATGAGAAGTGTAACAGGGTGTCTGGCTTGGACACCTTTTATAACAGCAGTTCTAGCTGAACATCTCTTGCTTTTAAAAATGTTTTAAAATTACTGGAAAATTCTAAAGTCCATAATATTAGCTCACCTGTTGTCTGGGTTCCTAAGAATCTCTTATGTTAGTATATTTCCATTTCATCTTTTTAAAATAATGGTTACTATGTCTTAATTTTTCATGCTCCTGAAATTTTTACTCACATAGATGAATCAACAGATGAACAGAACCCATTACCACATTTCCCCACTACAACATCAGTCAAACAGACATGCTCAGCCTGATAGGAAGAGATGTCTTTCAGTGACACATATATAGCACATATATAGCCCTTTAAATTTTTTTATTGGTGTGTTATAGTTATCCATAATATTGGGATTCATTTTAACATGATCATATAAGCATGGCTTACACATACTCTTGCCAAAGTTTAGTTCTTTTCTTTCTAAATTTGGAATCTACCCGTATATACCACTGAGAAAGTGATATTTCATTTACTGTAAAGAAAATTTCCTTCAATAAATAAAGATGTTTTGTTTGATTCATTTGATACACTGATTGATATTTAAATGTTTCTATGTAGAGTTTTAAAAGCCAGTCAAAGCTTGCATTTCACTCAGATGGCGTGTTATATACCAAGCACTTGAAAGGTCAGTTCTGGTACATGCAGGCAAACCACAGCACCATCCCTGTTGTGCATATTCCAGCTCACCTTCAAGGTTGGGACAAATGCTGTGCGGGGCCCCTTAGCTGCCTCTCATTCATCTCCAACATTCCTTCCTGCATCAGCATTGCAGTACCACTTACTCATAGCTTTAAATGGAGGGAGTTACTACATTTTCTGCTGTACTACATGGCATGGCATCATGTAGTACAGTTCTAGGCTTTGGAAAGTCACATTCTGAACCCCAAATTATTTATTTATTTCTTACATACATGACAATAGTGGAATGCATTACATTCATAATTGTCCATTCAGAGTACAATTTTTCGTAACTCTGTATATAAAGTATGTTCACGCCAAATTATGCCATTATACATAAGCTCTCTTATTTTTTTTGCATTACAATTCTTAATACACCTTTATACCACAATTTATCACATCTCTGTTTGTATATAAAGTATGTTGACACCAAATTCACATCTTCATATATGTATTTTGTATAATGATGACCATCTCCTTCCACCATCCTTGCTATTCCATTTCTCCCTCCCTTTCCCTCCCACCCCTATTCCCTATCTAGAGGTAATCTTTCTCCCATGCTCTCCCTCCCTGCCCCACTTTGAGTCACCCCCCTTATATCAGAGAAAACATTCAGTATTTGTTTTTTGGGGATTGGCTGACTTCACTTAGCATAATCTAATGCCATCTCTAATGCCATCCATTTCCCTGCAAATGCCATGATTTTATTCTCTTTTATTGCTGAGTATAATTCCATTGTGTTTATAAGCCCCTCATGTTTTTAAAATCCATTCATCCACTGAAGGACATCTAGGTTGGTTCCACAGTCTAGCTATTGTGAATTGTGCTGCTATAAACATTGATGTGGCTGTGTCCCTGTAGTATGCTGTTTTAGGTCTTTTGGGTATAGTCCAAAAAAGAGGAATAGCTGGGTCATATATGCCCCAAATTATTTTTAATGTCATGGATACAAAATGCAAGCCCTTGAAAA